ATATCACCAACCTCAGATATGCAGATGATACCACTCTGATAGCAGAAAGTGAGGAGGAATTAAAGAACCTCTTAATGAGGGTGAAAGGAGAGAGTGCAAAAATGGTCTGACGTTCAACATCAAAAAAACTAAGATCATGGCCATTGGTCCCATCACCTCCTGGCAAATAGAAGGGGAAGATATGGAGGCAGTGACAGATTTTACTTTCTTGGGCACCATGATCACTGCAGATGGTGACAGCAGCCAAGAAATTAAAAGACACCTGATTCTTGGGATGAAAGCGATGACAAACCTAGACAGCATCTTAAAGAGCAGAGACCTCACCTTGCCAACAAAGGTCTGCATAGTCAAAGCTGTGGTTTTTCCAGTAGTGATGTATGGAAGGGAAAGCTGGACCATAAAGAAGGCTGACCACCGAAGAATTGATGCTATTGAATTGTGGTGCTGGAGAAGACTCTTGAGAGTCCCCTGGACTGCAAGGAGATAAAACCTATCCATTCTGAAGGAAATCAACCCTGAGTCCTCACTGGAAGGACAGATCCTGAAGCTGAGGCTCCAATACTTTGGCCATCTCATGAGAAGACTTCCTGGAAAAGACCCTGATATTGGGAAAGAGTGAAGGCAAGAGGAGAAGGGGACGACAGAGAACGAGATGGTTGGACAGTGTCATCGAAGTTACCAGCATGAATTTGACCACACTCTATAAGGCTGTGGTCCATGGCGTCACATAGAGTCAGATACGACTTAACAACAACAATATTTTGTCACAGAGTCCATTGAGAAGCAGGGGTGCAAGAAGAAATAAACATTTAATTTCAAGACTAAAATAAATACTGAAAAATTATAAAAGTAACCAGTAGACATTAATTACAAAAAAGCTGTTTTGTAGAAAGTGCTAAAAAGGAAAATTAGCTTCAAAGTAATTTCAAAGACAAGCTAATTATTTTCCCTTTAAAAACCACAGAGGTGCTAAGTGGAAGCTAATGAAACAAACATAAGTTGGGGAACAAGTGTATGGTGCACACACACAAACACACAGAGAGACACAAGAGAGAGAGAGAGAGAGAGAGAGAGAGAGAGAGATTTCTTCCCCAAGACCAAGAAATCTGTAAAGTAGTGGATTCAGACATGGAGATGACTTTAGCATAGCTCTTTATTTGGAGAAGACACAATGAATAAACACTCACAGCAAGATGTCATATATATACTCAAACCTTCCCCAGAACACATCCCCAACATTCTATCACTCAATAACCACATCCAAGAGTTAAAAATGTCCTTGGCTCATTGCTAGTCTGTAGGAGTCACCTAATTGACTGGCTCAGCAGCCACAGTCAATCTTAGTACAACACAGGATCTTCACCTGAAGCTCCCAATACATTACACCCCTCCCCCCTAAGACAAGGTTGCACCCAATCACGCAGACAATCCTGTAGATAGCAGGGTGGTGCTTGCTCCCACTGTGAACATCTCAATCCATAATTGCTTGTCACGGTACCTGCCTTGGAAGGTGCTAGTTGCACCAGTGTGGGTGCCACAGCACAGTCTTAGGTTCTAAAAAAAACTTGCTGTAGCATCACTTAGCTTTGTTGAGATGTCCAGAACTGGCTGCATGGGCATTCATTCTGTGCTATGTGCTGCTGTTAAGTACATGGGCCCCAGGTATACCCCCAGGTATTGCTGCCCTCTCTGGCCATATCCGTCGTAGCTGGTCTAGGTGGTGACACAATTCTTGGCCATAGACTGTGACCACTCTATAAGACACTGGTCCATTTGACTTCCCCACCACTGCTGGCATCCAGGTCAGACCCTCACTGTAGTTGTGGGCATAGACCAAGTCTCTTGACTGGAACTCCCTCACCTCTCCCCCAGGTCGCTGTGGTTTCTCTGGTGACAGGTTCAGATGCAGTTTATCAAGTATGGTGGTAAGCCTTCTGTGCATTAGAAGCTCTGCTGAGCTGTGACCTGTGGTGGAATGGGGTGTGATGTATTGCTGTAATAAGAACTCAGCCAATTGGGCATGCCAGTCTCCCTGGGTGATCCAGCAAAGATTGTCCTTTGTTGTCCTTACCATTCGCTCTACCTGCCTGTTAGTTGATGGATGAAATGGAGTAGATATGTTGTGATAGATGCCATTGTTAACTACAAACCACTGAAACTCTACTGCTGTGAACTGGGCCCCATGGTCAGATACAGTAGTGTTTCTGAGAAGGGATAACTTTACCCCATTAGAAATGCCTTTTTATGCAAACATAGTGGAGAGGTTACAGGTTACTTGGCTAATATAAAAGGGGGTCATGACTCAAAAAAGGTTGGGAACCACTGCTTTAATTTCTTTGTCAAGGCTTTCCCACAGAAATACTGTATGTTTTTGTGGGTGTCAGGAACAGTGGGGACCTTTGTGTTTCAGACTATATAGCTGACACACCAAATTCAGACTTTAAAACTGCCCAATATACTTTGTCTACTAATGGTAGACAACTACATTCTCATCATTGGACCAATGCATTTTGCTATCTGAGGCAAAGGGCCTTGGACTAATAGCAGAATTTTATTTCATCCTTAGCTGTAAAATAGTCTCCTTCACAAAACCTTAGGCATGATGATAGTTTAAAAGGCCCTTGTGTATCAGAAGAACACAACTTATGGAGTGGCAATGGAACATCTCACAGAATGCTATTCGCAGTTGCCACCTGAAGAGATTGCTTCAGGTGGCAATCTGGTACAATCAGCCCTGGTTGTCTGCTAAGGATACAATTGTATGTCAAAGATATACCAAATAACATAAAAGATTTGACAAAACCCTACTGTTGGAAGAATACAAAGTATGCCACTGCTGCCACTAGAAAGAAAGAAAGAAAGAAAGAAAGAAAGAAAGAAAGAAAGAAAGAAAGAAAGAAAGAAAGAAAGAAAGAAAGAAAGAAAGAAAGAAAGAAAGAAAGAAAGAAAATATAAATCTTTGGAGAAACAACTTAGATATTCCAGTAAAACCACTGGAGTTATAGGGTAGCAAATGGGAACAGCGCACCACTTCTTCAGTTTATGTTCACACTATGGATAGGAAAACTTTACACAGTCTCATACAGGACACAAAGAATTTTCTTCGCCTGGATTTCAATGAGAAAAAAGAATCTTTTTTTAAAAGATAGTTTTGCCACATTGACAACTGCCCAACACATTTCACAACGTCAAAGCAAAAAGCAGAGTAAGTCCATACTGAATGACTGCACTGCACACCATTAGCAATATCATAAATTTCACATAGGAAGACCGTAAGGCAGCTAATAAGGGCCTGCAGGATCCTCCTGGCTGCCGGCCATACAGTGGAATTGTGGTATGTGGAAAATAGGGGGAAGAGGCACTTCCCACAAAGGGAAGCACTTTGCACAAAACTGTCTCACCTCAAAATCTGAACAAACACAACTCATCTCAAGAATTTTCACTTTTGTGAGTAGGGCATTTCAAAGATGAAGTCTGAAAACAAAACTGTGCATACATTTTAAAAAGCGGAGGCGGTAAATGTGCACATTTGGAAAAAATGTGCACATTCAATAAGGGAAAATATAAATCATGTAAAACATGTAAATTTTGCATTATTTAAGGCACATAAATAAGCACACATATTATGGAAAATGCACCAAAATGTGCATTAAAATGCAGTATAAATGCAAGTGAGATTTTCAGATCCCCAGTCAGCTGCTTTGGGACTATGATATTTGACACAATGGCTCCAGTTTCTTCTGAATACATAGAAGAGTGGCATAAGCGGGATTATATCCCTGACTGAAGGGATGCCTTGGGGCTATAAGTAGTGAAATCATTGCTGGCTTTGCTTCTGTACCTAACAGAGCAAAAGCACCTTATAATGTGTCCATTGAGAATGCAAGTAATATGGAGGGGCATCTCCCCACTTTTGTGAGCCCATCAATTCTCTTTTGACACAGATATAATCCCTGGCACAGTCTTTATTTATTTTATGATAATACCTTTAAAAGCATTGTGGGTGTGTTTTATTTATTTTTTCTTTCCATACTACTTACGTATTTTCTGCCTGTGAATTTATTTACTCACCTTTTGGGCTGAGCACAGAGAGGCATTTCTTCATATGTTAGCCTTTCTGCAAGCATTGCAGTGGCAGATGTCCAGTCCTGGCATGATGTGAATATAGGATTGCCCTATATGCAACCTTACAGAAAACTTCAGTCCCAAACATATTCAGAGTTGCTAGAGATGAGGCATGTCTCTATCCAATATACTTGGTGCACATTTGCTCATACTTTATGTTGAAGCAACACAATTTTAAATAAATAATCTAGTTTTGCAAAACTAATAATTCTCTGATCTTTATTTTTTCACATAAACAAGATCAGCTTAATATATACTTTGCCCACTTACAAACTCTACATAATTTGACTTACAATATCAGCTTGTTCTTCCACAGTGCCATTTAACTTTATACAAGAACAAGATGGGTCTTTTCTTTCAAAGTCATAAGGAGAACTTTTAAATACTACATACACTAGAATATTGATCTTACTCAGCGTGCACATCAATTTCATTGTCAGAAACACTTTGACTCTTGGTTATGTTCAAAGGGAGTGTTGTCCAGCTTCAATAATGTAGTATGCATTGTCCTTCGGATATTCCTAAAGCAGAATGTATGCTGTACATTTATATACAACAGTTGGTTCAAGCACAGACATTGCAGTGTCATGCTTTCATTCAAAACCAGGATGCCACTTCCCCCACCCACCCCCATTACAATCACATATGGCATCTAATATGCAAGGTATTGCTTTGCAAAATGCAAATAATTTGTTGCAGACCGGCCTTCATGATGGTAATGGAATGGCATTATATTGCACACATATTTTTATTGATTTATTTTTTTAAAAAAAAGTTTATCATAAATATACGGACCAGTATATGACATTGAAGAACAGGAAGCAAAATGGGAATAGTGCCCTTGCGTAAAGGTCAATCCGCTTGGCTGCTGATGGGATGACAGGCTTAGGAGGCGGAGGCTTCTTATTGTTCTTTGCCTGAGATTTCCCAAGCCCGTTGTTGACTTCAATGGGCTTCCCGTAACAATCATAGTTCGACAGTTCAAAATCTCTTGGCAAGCTTCCAACAATGCTAAAATCGTTGGACCTGAGGTCTGATTTTGAAGTACAAACCTTTTTACATCGAGTCTCCCCGACCTATTAAAAAAAAAAGTTTCAGAAGTCAGGAGGTACTCAAACATTTCAGTAAGAAGGGCTGGGCATTCTTAGGTAATATGTCAATCAAACTTTAGAAGAGGTAGCCATGTTAGTTTGTGCTAGCATATCAGGCAAAAACAAAATAAAAATAAAAAATAAGTATGACCAAAAAAACATTGTGGCACATTTAAGACTAACTGCTGTTGGAGGAAGTGGCCTTGTCCGCAAAAGGTCACATTACAATAGAGCTGTTGGTCTTTATTTATTTTTTTATTTTGTTTTTCAATGAAAATCAAGTATATATTTTTGTGGATGGGCTGTAGCCTTAAACTTCTGATTCTGTCAAATTATACATCAGTGATAATGTGTATTCCTCAGGATTATTCCATTTTCTCTTAATGATCAGATTCACAAATTAAGCCAGTGTGGCCCTTTCAGTGACCAATCATAAAACAAAGTATGCTAAATACAAGATACATAGGTGATATGAATCATGTGCTAGTGAGATTAATTCCTTCAGCACTTGAGGGACTACCTCATAAAAGGTCCTTGAATCTATTATGGGAGTATGTTCATAAGACTCTGCAGTGACTCCAATTGCTGCTCTTCTCTGTTACTTGCGTGCAAAGAAAATATGCCAGATTTTCACACCATTGTTTCAATGGAGGTTTGGTTTTATATTTTGTTTATTGGCTAAAATTGTGTTGTTTTGTTATGCACATGGAAGGCAAAAGGCAGGGCATTCAGCCACTTCTAGCTGGCAATTAATGAGCCAGCACCATGATTCATAACATGCTGCTGATGTGCACAGGGAAAGTTTTCATGTTTTTTTTTTTCCATTTTGGGTGTGTGTTTTTATAAGGGTGCCACTTTCATTTTTGTATTTTATTCTGTGTATCATTTCTTGTTTCATTTTTCATGAAAGGGAAAACCACTGTTGGGTTTTCTGGCACTCTGGAACCACCAAAGAACCCTTAAAAACTACTCCAAAAAATTAATAAAAAAAGCAGAGGCAAGGCAAAAGAGTCAGTCTTATCTAAAAGCAAGCAACAGTATATTATAAAGAAAAAATCAACATTAGACCTATGCAGGAATGAATTAATATTATTACGTTCAAAACCACAGTAGCTCTTAGGTGCTACCACCCAGCACAATGGACTCTTTAAGCCTGAGCAGCACTATAAAAAAACAACAACACCAAGGCAGCAGTCAGGCAGCCTGGCACACAGAGATACAACTCACTAAACCAACCAATGACAATACAGTATCAAGAACAACAAGAGAGAAATGCCCCCAACCTAGCCCAGCAAATGTAGCATCCCTTCCTTTAAAAACACAGCAAAATACAGACTTTTAACAGAATATGCAGTTAATTAACCAATTAACTATTTTAAAAAATCAATCAAACAGGAAAAGCACCCCACCTATCCACATGGGAAAAATCAGAAAATTCTTAAAAAGCACACACAGTCCCCTCTCCTAAAAACCAAGAAATCAACCAAACAAATAAAGGCAAAGAAATATAATCATAGCGCCCCCAACCAAAAGTACAAGAATATGGGGAGATTTCTATATACTACAGGAAGATTTTTTTTTTAAAAGGGGAGGGAATCCACCAAGAAATAAGGGAGCAAAAATCCAAAATATAATCCCAAGGAAGCATGCTGACATCGATAAAAATGAGTCAAAGAAATGGGAGGTGAAGATCAAAAAAAAAAAATTAAGGCAAAAAAAAAGGGAAAGGATCGAAGATGGAGGTACAGGCAGAAATTTAAAAAATGGAGGACATCAGGAACTCAATACTCAAGACTTCTACAAGGAATGACAGAAGCAAATAATACTCCTCACTGGGTTCCATGCCATCTTACACATTTAAAATTCCCACACACCCCAGATGTTCTGATTGGCTGACTGCTGACCACATTCACAAGGCTATTGCATGGAAAATGTCTGACATTTTGCTAGACAAAGGATGACAAAAGATTACATGAAAGAGGGAACAATAAAGAAAAATGAAAGTTTCCTATAACCTTATTTCACAAACATCAATCATTCATATTTAAGAAGCTCTCTTCTGGCAGTTGCCAGAAGAACACAAACTACATGAAAGACAGCCTCTTTGAACATGAAGGTCCCATCCCTAGCTTTTGTGAACTGGCTTGGCATGAACTCAAGAACTCCAGTGGGGATCAGTTAACTATCAGCTAGAAGTAAATTAATGTTATACCATTTACCTTCTGCATACTTAGCAAAGCAACAGGATTTCAGTCATTCGGTTTAACTGCTTTATTGTACTTTATTCCATTCTAAATTTGCATTTGTAAACTGCCATAGGTTAAAACTGAAGTAAGACAGTATGTAAATACCATAAACAAGCACACAAAAACACACAAAGAAACAAACAAATAGATATCTGTCTGGCTCAATAAAGATGCCATCCGTCACAGTCTTTATGCTGAACACAGCAAGCTTGTTTGTCCTAAATCATCATTACTGAACACCCAGAGTTCTGAAAGCATAAAGGTAATTAAAAGGCTATGCTAATAAAATCCCAAGTCCCTGCTCAACTGCCAATTATGCTTAACAATCAATGTTTGTAGGGCGGAAGTCAAAGATGTGCATTGTATGCATTTGCAGCATAACTTCATGAAGACAGATTGTACACGTCAAGAAAGAAGACATAAAGAAACAATTGTGTGCCTGGTTAGCAATGGCCAGAAATGTAAACCAGTGCTGATGAACATCAAAAGCGATGGCCCAGACATATTGGAGAAGACGGTTGCATACAGAGGAGTTCCATTTTCCAGACATCAATTCATCACATGCAAAGGCAATTATTCCTTTAACAAAGGCTTAGTTCAGTACATAAGGAGAGTGGGAGGGGGCTAATGTCTGTAACACTGCATGATGAAAACAGGATTTCTCAAATCCTGAAGGATCCGCCAAAGCTAGCAATATAATCTATCTGGGAAATCTCTTTGTAGATACCTGTGTTCGCCACAACCCCCATTTTTAATCATTGTGCTATGCCTACTTCTAATAATATTTCACTACATTATCGGTAAACTATATGGTGCCCACCTTCTTGGTAAATTAATTACATGGCTAAAACAAGAAAACATCATAGCTGATGGACAGGCAGGTTTTAGGGCTCAAAGATCTACTATAGATCAGGGTCTTTCACTTCAGCATGTTGCTAAAAAGTGTGCCACACTTTTTAGAGGACAGGTCTGGTCAGCCCTGAGCCATATGTCCTCTATTTGAGTACTTGGGGGCGGGGCCTTCACCTTCTCCAACTTTATAGAACCAGTTCTGAAATGCAAGGTTCAGAGGGACATTGGTAACAGGGCCTCAATATAACAGTTGGGCATGAATTTGCAGTTGGGCTTCAGCAGGGACGCTTGGACTTCCTTCACACCTCATGAAGAACAAAATGAGTTTCTTCTGCAAAGAACTAAATATTTACTAAATAATGGGGTTACAAGGGCAGGAGATGCATTCACTGTCCCTGAATAATAAAAATCAGCTGGAAAGGGTATATTTCAAAACAGAGTGATGGCTCACACAAAGATTCTACATGCACACAGCAATGTATATGTAGAATCTTCAAGTTGCCTGTGGCACATCGCTCAGAGGGACATGCATGCTTGCTTCCTCCTCCACCACTCAATGGCTGGATGACAGTATCCTCCAGTCCTCAGACCAGCTTTTATGAATCATCTATCTATAGCTGTCCAAATCAGATGTTTAAAAATAATCTTTATTTTAACATACAAGTAAACCAATGTTATGCAGCTCCTCAACATTGCCACACATATGGTGGGTGTTTACATATTCATCATAGTTGTGTTAAGAGAGGATGCCTTCCCATGTACAACTCTGTATCACCTGGACTGTTCACCCAGCTGGTTGATGTGCTAGAGCAAGATCTACCATGGATTGGGAACCTGGGCATCACAGAGACACTTCATAATTTTGATTTAATATTTAGGAAGGAGACAAGTTCAAGCTTATCTTCCCGAGAGGTTGTGGACATTTCTGCTCCCTGTCAAGACATGGGCAATTCTTCAGTTACAACTTAGATAGGATTCAGTTCTGTAAACCAAACTCCACTCAACTGCATAACTTACACAGACAAACATGAACTCAAGCATCTATATCACACAATTTGGGGGTATTTTTGTAGTCAGACAGGACAACTAGTCTTAAGCATTCTCAAAGATGCCTACTAAATGAAACAGACCTTAATAAGGATGTAAGAAGCATAAATAATGTTCTAAGCAGACTTCTCAGCAGTTTGTTTATTCATAGAATAGAACTCTTAACAGCTTCACCCTCCTTCTAACACAGTTGCATGATAAAGAAAAGATAGACCAAAAGGCATATGCCAAGACAATTCAGAAGAAGGTTGTTCCATGAAGGGGACTTCAGAAAGACATCCATAATAAGGATCACTCTTTCTTTATCATGCAGAGTTGTACATGTAAAAGCTTCCATGCAAAAATCAGAACCTTCTGTTATCAGGATTCCAGTTTGTGTGGAAGCCTCCACATGCATAGTTCTATAAATGAAAGCTTCTTCTCTATGGAGGTTTGCACTAAATGCAGAGAAAGCTTTAAAGGAAGCTTTACATAACAACTGGAAACTGGGGGGCAGCAATACACAATGTGACTTCATTCCCTCCCCCCCATATGTTAAGGTATGACTAAATTTGAATGCCCAAATATATTGTGATAAACTGATGTACCTGAATTAAAAACATATTCTCAAATTTGTGAATTATACTTTCATAAATCTTCAAAGTGCCCTTATGATTCTGCATGTTACTTTATATTTAAAAGAATATGAAAACTGTGCCTCACCAGTGCTAGTAATTTGCTGTCATACGTACTTCACACAGAAACCAGATACAGTACAGGTATACTATGCAGCTAGGAGCAGGGTAAATTTGACAAGTCTACAAGAGTTACCCACATTTTAAACAAATGAGTTTCCTTCATTGTTTAGCAGAGTAAGATATTAACTATATTCTCAGATGTGTCTGATTTGAGCTATAAAACGTTTACAGAAACATATGAATGTGCAAAAATTTAACAGAGATGCTAAGGATGCCACAAACAGTCACTAGAGGGTGCAAGAGGGTAATGTGTTTCTCAGTAGGACTTGCTAGCAAAAGATCAAGGCAACACTGGGAGGGCATCCAACTACAGTACATGGGAAAGCTCAGAAGAGCAGAGGTTTGGGAAGCACCATTTCACAGCCTGAGTGGGGTGAGCTCCGCTGAGACCCCAAGAGATAACACAACTGCTTCAGGCTTCTCTTCATTGGCTCAAGTATTAAGGAGCACTGCAACACCTATCTGGAGATACTGCTGTAATTTCAGTCCTGATTTGAATATGACTTTAGGTAATATTACAGAGAAGTGATCTAAGCCTTTATCTGACCTAGCAGAAACTGATTATTTTTTTACTGTTCAACAGCTCAGATTGTTGACTGTGAATGAAATACACATCATTGTTGTTACATGCCATCAAGTCACATGTGACAGTAGCAGCAACAACAGCATATATTTCCTTACCTGTCAAAAATGCATGAGCTGGTAACAAAATATTTTTACAGGAAAAATCTACTTATTGTTTCATTATACCTGAGCAGATCTATGAAAGCAGTCCTCCTGGGAAGGTAATGCCAATAAAGGTTTCTGCATGTAATTCCATAACATCTGGAACATCATGATCACAGATGATATCCCTCAGTTTCCATTGTGTGCCATTTATAATTCTCTTTTTGTCCCCAAAGAGCCACCAAAAACATCCCGTGCTACCCCAAAAACCCATCAACAATGAAACAAAAAGATTATCATATGCTTTACATAACATCTGGAACATCATGATCATAAATGATATCCCTCAGTTTCCACTGTGTGCCGTTTATAATTCTCTTTTTGTCCCCAAACAGCCACCAAAAACATCCTGTGCTCCCCCAAAAACCCATCAACAATGAAACAAACAAAACAAACCCAACAACAACTCTATAATATTTTCCATCCAGTGTAACATGTTGGGCTAAAAAAATGCCAACAAAATCTGACAAAATTTTTTTAAATAAACAGAATTACATTTAGGCTTTGAGCCCCAATTCTGAAACTTTTAATAAAGCAAACCTGGCTGTGATTTTTGGAATTGGGGAGGGGGGCTTTCTGCACCATCCATAGCTCTGTGGTGCCCACAGCTGGAAGAAGACCTGTATAAGGTCTGAAGCTACCCTATGTTTGTGATTTTTACTGGTCTAATAAAGACATTGTTCATCCTTGCCTTCAGAGTGTATCCAAGGAGCATCCTTTTTAGGGGGTTATATTTTACTTATGACACATTGACATACTGCAGTCCTTTATTGCCATTTTATTACATCAGGATATCTTTGAATGTGACTGGGGATTGAGAATTGTCCCAAACCCGTGAACATTAATATATAAATTTTAATAAATTTTCACACAGATTGGAGGGATTTATTTGGTATTAAGTTAATCATATTGGTTAATAATACTTGCACAATACACAGAAATGTACACTTGGTAATGTTTTAACTCCACCCCCACCCCCCTTTTTAATGGACAAAATAAAATTCAGAACAAAAATTGCTCCACTAAATCTGAGTGCTTGTGTAATGTATTGGAGGATGGGGGGGAGAGAACACTCCATCCCATTTTCCAGCAAAGCATGATGTTGAGAAGCAGAATTGACAGTTGACAACTGATTGCTAGTAGTTTGGCCTCATTCACAAGGAGGAAGAACTGGAATTCTTGTTAGGTTCAGGAATACAAGCTATGTAAATTTACCCCAAACTCTAATTCTAACCCCAGTCTGAACCATAATGCTACTACTAAACCACAATGCATTGGAATTCTCATGGGTCACCAAATTTACTCAATTGAATTTTGACCCAGAGCCCCTGAATTCACTCAATACAAGTTTCCTTGTTTAAAAAGAAACACTGATGAAAGACAGTTAAAGAGGAGCTCATATAATAGAGGTGTCTTGGGTTTCAGAATACAAAAGGAAAAAAGTCAGCTCTACACAGGCATTGGGATCACATAATTTAATGTCACACATGACAATGAGTTGTATGACATAAAGGAACAGATATTTCCTGAAGTCCATGGCTTTAGATATACTTGCTGGGATACATCGAGCTATAAAATAAATAGTAATTTATTTATCTATTCATATTATACAATTTACCTCTTCCTTTACACCCCTTCTTTATAATAATGATCCAAAATGGGGTTGTGATATATTAGCACACAACAAATAGAACTTGTAGGAATGCACAAGTATAATATATCACAACAGCATGTATCATCATCCCTTCATCACCCATGTTGTCTTAATAATCTTTGAACTGTAGAGCTGGAACGGACTCTAAGGATCATAAAGTCCAGCCCCTTTCAAGGAGGCACAGTGGGGAATCAAACTCCCAACCTCTGGCTCTGCAGTCAGATAGCTAAACCACTGGTAACATGGGAACTCCTGGTGTTCCAGGTTTAATGGCTCACAAATCACACCAGCCTCACCGACCATAAACAACAGTAAGGGATTATAGGTCTTGTAGTCCAAAATATCTGCAGGATCTTCACCCTTGCACAGATGTAAAACAAGATGACAGTGGGAAGTGAGGTTCCCCAATCCCTACATTATACTGCTTGTACAAAATTGTGTTGTGTCTGGAATATAGGACCACTGTCAATAAAAGTTATTAATATTTGGTACAAAGGACCCTAACAACAATTCTTTTTCATCATTCTCTTTGCACCTGCTGTAGAGGGGCTTTGGAAAACGGCCTCTACTTACACTTACTTGTTTTAAAAATGTTTCACTGTGATATTGCCATAAAATACACATTCGTTTTCTACCATCTGTACCAGTCTCCCCAAGTACTACGTGCTTACACTGTTCTCACTAAGCTGATGCATTCTTGACTTGTTGGACTACAACTGCCATCATCCCCAACCAGTATGACCATGACCATGACCACTAGCTGTTGTAGTCCAACATACCTAAAGGGTATCAGATTGTGGAAGGTTAGTCTATGTAATACCCTAAATAAGAGATGGGAAAAGTATCTTACGTAGAACTACGCATCCCGAAATCTTACAAGCCAATACTGCAGGAGATTCTGGGAACTATAGTCCCCAAAAAGTAACTTTCCCCATCTCTTTCCTCTCTCTGCCATTTGCTTAACAATGAAAACAAGGCTTTGCAACAACAAAAAGAAAGAAAGAAAGAAAGACAAGAAAGACAAGAAAGGTACATACCTGTAAAGTGCTGATGTGCACAGGGGTCCCCGTGCCATTCACGGTATTCTTTTTTGCTGCATTTCCACCTTTTCCTTCTGCTTGCTCTGCCTTGGCAATCTTTGCCTTTTCAGCTTCAATTTGCTTTGGGTTATTCAGCATGACTTGAACCACAGCATACTCAACCAGTGAAGCAAACCCAAAGAGGAGGCATGCAATCAGCCACACATCTAAGGCCTTCACGTAAGACACTTTGGGAAGTTCAGCAGCAAGGGTAGTACATTCTGATGCCAAACTGAGCACTGAAAAGATACCTACAAGCAGAGGGACAAGAATAATAGTACTAACGATTATTAAACAATGGAAACTGTTCTTTACTGCTAAGCTTTCCCGTCTTTGCTCCCCCTAAACCATTTCTGCTGCCAGATTCTAACTGATATTTCCTCAACTTGATCATGGACCACAGAAGTTTTGCCGGAGATGGAGATGAATGTACAGGGTGAATTATGGAATTGGCTATATACACAGATACATAATATTTCACATAGGTACACACAACAATTATAGCTGGAAATATCTTTATTGCTGCTGGCAGCTTGTCGTTATCATGGAAGATCAATTATTTATTAATAATCTTGGGACCCAAGGCAGATTGCTACCAATTTAGTGATCTGCACTGATTTTTACCATTTGTTAGTTACATTTTTAGATGTCACAGAAAGATGAAGTAATATGATAATGGAATGGTTGACAGGTGGCTATCTCTGTTTTGGTTCTCCTGTAGGCAATATAGATAATTTAATTAATTTCGTTTCTATGTATTTTACTGATATTATTCATTACTAAATGGCTTAAACAGACAATTGTTATAAACTGGATTGTTATTTGTTATTTAAAATATGTTTATTTCTAAATAAACATAGTAGTCATAGAGCCTCCAGTAGTCAGATATTGTGTAGCTTTCAGTGGGAAATAGCCTGGAGCTACATCCAGAATCCTTAAATATCTTGCATCTCATAGTCCATCATGACTGAAAACAAGCTTTGAAAATCTGAAATGTACTGACTTAAAGGAGTGTAGCTAAGCTTTCAATGCTTTGATCAACAGGATAGCAAAGGTCAAGGTGATGTCTTGCTGGTTTCCATTTGTCATGAAAAGTTCAGTCTCAAAATGATGAGAAAATGAAAAACATCTTACAATACTTCCAAGAAAGTCATAATCTCACTAACGAGAACAGAAGACAGATCTCATCACATTGCTGTTTTGCTTTGAAATAAAGTCACTTCCTCCGTACAAGCAAGAAGGTGCATGCTGCTGACCATGTTGCAATTTGAGATGAAGATAGTTGAAGGAGAGATGTTTAATCCAGAAGAGGACAACAGACAAAGAGCATAGGCTACCTATGGCTCAACAGCCTACAGCCACGTCAATGACCAGGGCCACTCTTGGTGCTCTGTCTGAGAAAGAACTAGCCCTAACATTAGGAGAAGCAAGACAAGTGCCTCAGACAGCAGAAAGTGGTAGGCAGCAGCAAGATGTTGAAAGACTTATCCATCATCTTCCTATCCTGTTGCTTTCAGATGTGACAGAGGTTGCTCTTTTGTCACTACTGCTGAAGCAACTCACTTGCCAGGTGAGTTGACTTTTGTACATGGAATGAAAGGGGATGCCATCTTGCTCTTCACTTCAGGCAGCCAAATATCTTGGGCTGCTCCTGGGCTAACAGAACTAAGCCTTACGTCATATCATGCTGTATCTTCAGTAGCCACCCAGGATCCCATGATTTGAGGGGATTGTGAGTTCTTTTCAGCAGAAGGAGAACAACATACTTCCTTCTACCTGCAAGGACATAACCTGCTTTCTCTCACTGTTTTTGGAGACTCTGTGGCTAGTTTTAGTAAGCTGTGTGTTTGTATGTGAGAGAGAGATACAAGTTATTTTACCATTTTAAAGTACCATAGTCAGGATCAGAGGCACCACAGGGAATTCTTGTGGAGCCGCAGATGCCTGCCCTGGATGGATGAGCCTCATCTTTAAAACAAAAACAAAAACCCTTGGGTTCTGGCTGTGACTTAACACAATTTCACTTTTTCCAGAATAAAATCCCAATAAGATCCTGGCCAACGGCTCCTCTCCAGCTAGTACTATTAAAGTACCATAGTCAGGATCAGAGGCACCACAGGGAATTCTTGTGGAGCCGCAGATGCCTGCCCTGGATGGATGAGCCTCATCTTTAAAACAAAAACAAAAACCCTTGGGTTCTGGCTGTGACTTAACACAATTTCACTTTTTCCAGAATAAAATCCCAATAGGATCCTGGCCAATGGCTCCTCTCCAGCTAGTACTGGTAACTGGATTCAACCCCAATGATCCATTATTCCACCTTCTCCCCCCCACCATACTGATATCCCTTCTAAATTTCTACTCACAGTTGCACTCATACCCGTCAGTGATGATTTAGTGAGTAGATGCCAGGAACAACCTGCTTATAGGATACAGATCTTGCCTTTTTAAAAGTAGAGACATGTATGGGACTGAAAAAGAAAAGATTGGGATGAGACGAGAGTGAAGAGCATGCCATGAGAGTGTAGTTGCCTTCAGTATCCAATGAAATATCTTGCTATTGATGCAACTCAAAAGGACAAGTTGCATACAAGGGTTCTGACAGGATGTGAAAATATAGTTTACCCAGTGGCACTCTTGCAGCACTTGCATCAGGATTGATCCAAAATGACAGCCATGACAGCACGACTATTAGCAGTGTAGGAGCATAAACGCCCATCATGTAAAAGCCAACTTGTCTTCTTAAAGTGAAGATCACTTCTACACATGTGTAATAACCTTTGAAGAAATAAACATGCATAAGTACTTGTGCTTCTACAAACCCCTCACCTCAAATGTAAATTCACAGGCACCCTCTTAACCCAGAGGTAAGGACCATTAAAATGAAGGGGTTAATTTTGAGTAGTTAGTTATGTGCCATCAAGTCAGAACCAACAGTGACCCTAATAGGGGTTTCAAGGTAAGTGAGCTATTTAAGGAGTGGCTTTACCAGATCCACTTCCCTAATGAGTTTTCATGGCTAAGTAGAGATTTGAACCCAGGCCTCATGAGTCCTGGTGCATCACTCCATCCATTACACCACACTGGGTACCCAACTCTTGAGTACACACGTACAGAATGGGATTGCTAACATCGCCAAAAAACCTGCCGTACTTTAAGATTCTTCTCCATCTGGTACCCAAGAAAGTCATGTAGAACATTTGAACCTGACCTAACTTGAGTTCAAATTTAGTTTGGAAGAATGAACAGGGAGTTTCCATATTTGGATGTTTCAGACGATGTATGGGCCCCTACAGTCTGGAAGCAGCTTGGAGGGCCTTGAAGTATTATTACAAAAATAGCAGTATTGGCAACCCATTACATACTAGTAAGGGAACCATTACATTACAGCAGTGGTAAAGACAGTTCTATTTGCATAGTATGAATTACCTTTACATCATCTTGGTAAGTACAGTATATATACAAAAATATAAAAGTTGTGCTATGTGTCTAACCAATGTGGCAATGCAGCACATTCTACTTTCTGTGTAATAGAAATCTTTGTAATTATCTTTAACTGTGTGATTGAATAAAAATGAGTTACTCCTGATTTTTAAAATAAAAGAATAAAATAAAATGTGATTTTAATTACAATGACTCTGCTCTCCAGGAGGCAATTCAAGACTTAGGGTCACATAAGATTTGCTGAAAACAGGATTCATTCTGTCACTGGATTTGGAAATCACATGTTCATAATAATCACATAACATAATAATCAACCACCCTCATAAATGATGTTCAAAATTTTAGAATAAAATACTTTAAATAGTTGGTGGCTAGTGTGAAAAAGACCCAGTACAAAATGCAACCCATTAAAATGGGGGAGGGAGGTGTACAAATAATGTCCTGAAGACAATCACGTTCTAGTTATTTGATCCTCCTCTTTCATGATCTTGAGCTAGTGGAATGCTTTCCACGCCATTTATAAATGGACTCCACAGATTGTCAAATTCTTATTTCATTTTCCATACTATTTATGACTTTTATGTGTTCAGCTGTTTGTGTTGGGTCAGAAATTCACTTGTGCTCTGACTAAAAGCCTTATATTATCTTTCAAATGCAAAGCATAGCATTCTTAGTCACAACATAAAGCACGTATGTTTTACATTAAGGGAGGCCAACCATTTTTAAAAAATATTCAGAATAACAATTTTCTCTCATAAAAATAGCGAAAAGAGAAAACAACACACTATCCCAAACTTCCTTCTGCTTGTACAGTATTTTTACAAGCTTTCTCTTATGCATACATATATTCACTGATTTAGTCGCCACCTTGATCCTAATTCTGTTAGACTAGAACAAGGAAAAATATGCATCCCCGTGGTTACATTCACCACGATATGCCCAGAATTCTGGTTCTACACTATTACAATTTGATCCATGGTCCCGTCATGACAAAGAGATCATAGAACTTCTTTCCTCCAGAGGTCCAACTGTCCCATTTAACTCTTTCTTTCCATTGCTAAATGAAAATGTACCTCTTTAGAGAGGTGCTCAGGGAATCAGTAAGCAATTGAGATGAGGAAGGGTTTTTTTTTTTTAAATGATATATAGGTTTAAAATCATGTTTTAAAAGATTTGTACATTATAGTTTTCAAATTTTAATTGGTAGGTTTTTAATTGTGGATTACAAATATTTTTCTGAGTCCCCGCTGCAAGATTAAAAATTAAATAAAAAATTTAGAACAGGATGAAAATAAATAAATAAATAAATCATGCTAAAAAGATGCTATAAAACCTACCAAAGTGCAACAAAGAGAGAACTGGTGACTCTGAATTACCAAAGCAAGCAAAGTTTAGTAACAAATGAAGTAAATCATGCATTTGGTTTCTGATTCCAAAAAAATAAGAAATAAATAAGTTAAATCCTTTTTTTAATAGTTATTAAAGACCTAGCTGTATTAAGTGATTAATATAAATACATTCACATTTAAATATATAAATAATATTGTATAACTTGCTCCTGCAATCTGAAGAACATAAGGTATTTCTACCCCCAAAACAGGATATCAGTTTCTTCACCTTGCTACAGTGTACTTACGCAGAAGCTATTTGCCAATTATAAATCTTCACAATTAACTAATGAATTGGTGAATGACATACTCCAGTGAGTGTGAGTCATTCAACTAATCTGCCCCACAAACCGCTGTGAGGGAGGGATGATTACTTCTCTTTCTTACATGGCCTGTCACAATCTCTAGATGCTGACTATGAATGGTATCAGCCTCTGTAGTGCAATAGGTTAATGCTCTAGTATTTGTCAAAGCCAGAAATATCTGCAGCTAAACTGCATAAAAACAGATATAGCAAATTAGGTTTAGAAAGCTTTTACTGTAGTAGCAACAGAAGAGGAAATGAATCTATTCATTTGTTCACTTAATGAGCACTTATCACTTAATAAGTCTTGTATGCACTGAAACTGAGAGTAATCTGAAGAGTTAGTCAGTGCTTCTATTCAGGCTCATCTTCCAGAAAAAGAGCTCTTGCTGATATCTTGCATGTCTGTGACAAATCAGTCAGTATGGATGCAAATAATGTGGCATATTGTACCACGTTTATTCAAATATGGCACTTCCCTGGCATGTAATTGCAAGCCCTGTGTGCTACAAAGGCAGACACTGGTCTGAGACATTATTTACTCAAATAAATGGGATAACCCACCCTGGGATAACCACCCGCCCTGTTCATCAGCAATGTTCTTCCCGTGGGCAGAACAAAGAGCTTGTGGTGGTGACAAATACATAATTTTATTTTGTTGCAGCAGTTTATATACACAATGTTTCTTTATCTGTGAGACACAAAGAATCTTATGGTGAAAACAGCAATATACAATAGAGACGACAAAACTGTATAACATAAAATACAGCGCAGTGGAGTGGCAATCAAACAAGAACGACTCGTCAAAGAAAAACAAGAACATACGTAAGAGCTGAACTGATAATATCCACATACTAACAGCCTGCAAAGTCATGACGAGCACAAGACTCAATGCCTAACTAGCCAAATGTCTTCTGAGCTCCAAATAGAAGAAAATTCTCAAACCCCTGGGAGGATAATTCATGAAGGTGGTCCTGCAGTTACAAAGGCCCTGCTCATGGGAGATACCTGCTTCATTTCACCTGTCCTTTGCTGGTTTTTCTTTTCTTTTGATACATACTTCGGCTCTATCAAGGTGCTGGTGCTTGTTTCATGCTCCCTGAATATTTATCCCTCTCTTTCTTACATGTTAATTTTTAAATAAAATATTGTTGATTAGTTTTTAAAAGTACACTGTCAGGTACAGTGGTGCCTCGCATTAAGACGTTAATTCATTCCAGCGAAATCGCTGTAGAACGAAAACGTCGTAAAGCGATTTTACAAAGCCTATAAGCGAAATCGCTGACCCGGTTAATGCATTCCTATGGGCTGGAAACTCACCGTCCAGCGAAGATCCTCCATAGCGCGGCCATTTTCGCTGCCTGTGCAGCGAGGAATCCGTCTCAGAAAACAGTGGGTGGCCATTTTGTTTACTCGGCGGCCATTTTAAAACCGCTGATCAGCTGTTAAAAATCATCGCTTTGCGAGAATCGGTTCCTGAAGCAAGGAACCGATCATTGCAAAGCGAACTTCCCCCATAGGGAACATCGTTTTGCGATCGCAAAAACATCGACGTCAAGTGGTTTTGTCATTAAACGGAGCGCCCGTCTTGCAGGGCACCACTGTACTTGAGGTTTTTTTTAGATGAGGGGGGTTATTACTCTTCCTAATCAACTAACAAACCAGCCAACCAATCTTGTATATAAAGACTGGAGCAGTTCAAGTAGAAGCACAGAACATGCCAGCCATCATGCAATTTGAGATATGAATGGACATCCCACATGTATTACCCAGTATAAAAAAACAAAAACATTCCAGTTCTACTTATATGGAACTGCTGCAAAAAAACATGAAACCCAAATTATTGCTCCACACTGTTAATTCATCTTTCTTGTCAATTTATGATTCATGCGATTATATAATCATTAATTTGACCTAGCATCTCTCTCAGAATAATCAAGCAAATAAAATAATATTGGGATGTGACTAATGGCCACCAACTATACAGTATATAACAGACATGGGCAAATCTGGCAGGTCAAGAGGCCAAATCTTCTGCTCCATATGGGGCCACATGGACACCCAAAATACTAAAAAGGAAAATAACTAAACTAGAAGTAGCCATTAAGTTCAATTCTGGTTTAAAAAATGTGTTAAATATGCAACAAAGGGCCCCTTCCACCTACTTAAAAAGCAAAATACTCAAAGCTTCCAAGAGCAGCAATATGTTGTTTGTTGCTGGGGGCAGGGGAGTATTTGGTAGCAGTGTCTGTAGCTGCAAAATCATCCTTAGGAGACTATTTGGAGATGACAAGGCCACTCTTTGCCTGTCCCTGCTATAGATGAATGGAGTTTTACTGTGTAGCTGAATTCATACTGAATTAATGAAACTACATACCAGTTCCTTGGTAGTATTTGGTACAGTTGCCATATTCAATATCTTCTTTTTTGATGTCAAACTGAGGCAAAGCTATTTTCTCTAGCTGAACAGGATCACCAGATTGCCAGATAAATCGTAAATCATCAGTAGTGTAACCAACTAAAAGGGAGAGAGAGAGGAGAAATAACAGATGCAGTAATTAAATATAGATTTTTGCCTTATACTTTTTATCTCAGAATGTGGCATCTTAATTCATAATGTGTGTTCATCGTGCCCATCATATCTTACCGTATCTCCAAAACATATGTACTGACCTTTCCAGGCAAAGTTCAAAACCCCAAATGGACTTGGACCACAAGAGAGGAGAAATAACAGATGCAGTAATTAAATATAGATTTTTGCCTTATACTTTTTATCTCAGGATGTGGCATCTTAATTCATAATGTGTGTTCATCATGCCCATCATATCTTACCATATCTCCAAAACATATGTACTGACCTCATATGTTTCCAGGCAAAGTTCAAAGCCCCAAATGGCCTTGGACCACATTATTGGAAGAACCACTTTTTCTCACAAAAACCTGTTCACTTGTTAAAGTCTGTCCCCTGAAGCCCTGCTCCAGATATCTCCTTCAGAGCATTACCATTTGTTGCCTGAAGCCAAGGAGAAGGTGGCGTCACTCTTCCAATTCTATGTGCAGATATGTATGTACAAGAGTAATAGCTGAGTAAGATACTTGGTATAGGAATGAAGCCTAAGTACAGAGAGTGCAGGAGGATACACAGCTCTGTATTCAACATAGTCGAATGGTCTGGGGCCTGCTGTGAGATGACTGAATGGTGGGAGAGGAGATGGGCCACTCCCAGCACCTGTTGCCTGAGGTAATTGCCTCACTCTGCATAATGAAAGGGATAGCCATGCTTTGGAAATGGGTCTCCCTGTATTTTTTCCTACTAAAGAGCCCTTCCCATAGAACATCTTCAAGGATGTCCACCAGGTGCTTTCACTGCTTTATTTTGCATGACATGCAATAGTTATTTTATTTATCAAGAATTTATCAGGGTGTAATTCTAATTTCTAGCACTGGGAAGTTATGAAATAACTAGAGATGGAGGTAATTGTATTTGTATAGAAATATGAATATCCTAGCGCAGCTGGACTTAACAAGGGTCCGGCCTCCGAGGCCAGATCATCCACTCATGTGTCCTGCTGTGGAGCCAGTCCTACTCATCCTTCCAATCATGCCCCGAGTGCCACTCTCTTCCAGGTCAGCTGGCCACTCCAGGCAGGAGGAGAAGTCTCCCTGCACAGCTGCTGAGTGGCCAGCTGAGCACGAACAGAGTGGTGCTCCGGGTGCAACTGGAAGGATGTGTCAGACCAGTGCTGGAGCAGGACCCATGAGTAGACGTTCCAGTCCCAAGGGCTGGACCTTCATTAAGCCCTGCTGCATGCTGTGTATGGCAGATGAAGCTTACATTTCCCAACACCTCTGGTTGGAGGTTAAAAAAGGATGGCAAAGTGTTCATTGGTATAGCAGCCTTTCCCTTTTTTAATGCCAGCGTGATGTTCCCAATCTGGATTAGGGTCTTGTATGCTAACTTGCAAAGGTATAGAAAGAAGAAGGGAAACTGCATGCTGTATGTTTAGAATCATGTTTAGTTTGATCCTTGGAATAACTGTGCCACAAATAATTATCACTGTAACAGAGAAACATTTAAATGGCAGAGGCTGCTAGAAATAATTTTACAAAGAAATGTCAGTAATCCACATTACACAGTACAATGTACAGTAGCGCATGTTCTGGTTCAATTTCTGTCTGCAACAAAAAAAGAGAAATATTTATATCCGTGATCTAATTTACATACAGCTCTCCAACTGCATCTTGCAACGTTGTGTATCCATAGGAAATAAGGTCAAGTCCAACGGGCATGACAGCGTAATGGATAATCTGGAAATATAAACCAAAGTTTATAAGCAAGATTAATTTTCCCAGTGCTTTCTTGTCAATTGATGTAGTACCTCAGCATATACCATGTTCATATGAAGACAGATTCATAATAGGCATCTACTGCAGTTTTATCACAACATTATGAAGTACAGAAAACATATATGTGTGTTTTCTGTGTCTCATAATATTGTGATCAAATGTCATTAGTTGCCTATGCATATGTTCCTACAAAAGTTTGGAGCATTATTTTTTTCCAAATACATATCCAGAATGATATGTGAGACATAGGGACAGGCAAATCTGTTCAATTAGCATTTTCCCCCTGTTCTAATTTTACGTTCATTTCCTCTTCTTGTGTACCACTTGGAAGATATTTGAAAAGTCAGTACAAAAATCCATACATATTTGTATGCATAGTCTTCCTGATTTCTGCATTTTTGTACATGGTGTTGTTTGACAGACATTTTTTTTGCAAGCCACCTTCCCAAATACAACCCATGTTTATAGAAAAATTTTGCAGATATATGACTTCCCTATGCATTTTTCTGTAATATATGTCCATTCATACACAAAGTGGTGTCTAGAGATTGGCATAAAAAATTAGGAATGGTGCAAATATTAATGTGTAATTGTAGTCAATGCAAGTATTTCAGAGGCAAGTTTTCATTAAAATGCACACTGACCAAAGCAACTCCCCAGATTCCTAGCTGGATACCACTTAGTCCTTGTCTTCAAAACACTTGTCTTCATGCTACACTTTAGACTTTGCTTGCAGCTAAAGGTTGCCTTTTCACTGTAAATAAGCATTCACAGGTCTAATCCAGATTGTGACCAGTACATGCAGATGGGAGAAAGTTTTACCTGCATTTCCATCTGTTTTTCATAAATAAATGAATGGCCACCATGTACAAACAAATTAAAACATCCAATGGGATTTTCTCTTTTGAAAATTTCATTGGCACAGAGATTTTTAGATTTTAAAAGCTGGTTGAAAAAATATCCTAAATCTCTCCCAGTCATTCACATTTGTCCTTACCTAGGTAACAGATCTGTGTGCTAATTTTAAACTAAAAAAATCATCTGTATTCATAGGCAATGTGTTCAGCATGTAGGCTGATCATTTTTAGAAAGGTGTCCCCTTATTCTAAAGACATCAGTTTGTCATAGTACATGATTTTTGTCAATCAGGTATCATGCATTTAGTGTGCTATGCTTTGTGGCCAGGTAGTTACAGTCCTAAGTCTGATGGTTAAAACCTGTGTCTTTCAAGAAGTCACATTAAAGGACAGAAAAGATTTTACTGGCTGGGAATATGTATTCCCTTTAATATAAAATTTGACTGTAAATTAACCAAGTAGTTATTTTTATCTATGAAGTCATAAGGAAGTTTACCATTCTAAGTAAAAAAAAATACCTCATGCTAACTAGGACATCTCCATCACGGAATATAAACAGAAGGATATTTTCTTGTGTGACATCATGAAAATTGGCATTCTTTTCATTTGCAAAGAATAGATCTGGTTTCCACAAGCATTTAAACATGGTGGGATCCACTGTTAATGATTCGGATCCTTTCCAGTCCGTTGGCAGTTTCAGTCGAGGATCATTCCACTTTTGTCTCAGGAAGATGTTAACTCTATAATCCTGTTCGAAACATGTTATTAATGGACATTAGCCTGGTAGAGAAACAACAACACGCAAAGCCGAGCCTATGAACTGCATTTCAACACTTTCAAAATGACACTTCACTAAACCATTTGCAGCAGCAGCAGCAACAGTAATCATTTCCCAGAATAATTGAAATACATGGCCTTCTCCTCCACATCTTTAGAAATACAAAAAAGTTTTAGGGTTAAATGCTTTGGTGGAGCACAAACAGAAGAGGCAAGCATTGGGTAACTAAGGCACACAATCATAAATTATAGCCACAGCAATATTCAAAGAGTTCAAAGGAATAAATACAAACAAGGCATGGACAAGATAAGTATAGTAGTATTTAAAATGAGAAAGAATGAATACAAACAATATGTGAGCAGGGTTGACCTAACCATATGTAAACAGACTAACAGAATTCCAGGTATAGCTCCATTATGAGTTCTTCTTCAAAGACAGCCCAGCTTTATGTGGAAACATAACCACCCTATGACAGATTACAGTATCTGCAAAGATGCAGTGTTATTTCCCAAGTCTAATTAAAGGCTAAAAAGAAGTATTCATGAAACATCTGTGTGCATTCACTGCCATTGAAACCACTACTGGTAGTACATCTGGAGTCCTGTATAACTGTTGCATTCACTTTGCCCATGTACTATATAGCCATGTATTTTGGCTATATACTGCTTTATATATCACACCCACACTGTTTGCATTTATTCCTTTGTAATTTGTGATTAATATATTTGCTTTCGATTGAGAATTTTTAGGTTGTCTCCTCTGCAGCACTTTTTGAGACTAAACGTTTTAGTAGGGATTTGGCCATAGGAATTAGCAGTCAAACACATAAATACACACAAATGCATAAAGAGGAAAGAGGAAGGAAACTTCAATTACTAAAGCCTGCTCTACTTTAGCCACATAAAAGAGGAATAAGGAAAGCAATACAGTATATTAATCAAGAAGGCTAGTAATTCAGGAGAAAATCGTGCTTATTATGTTACTAGAAAGGAGAAAAGGGTGGGCCATGTAAATATGAAAAAAAAACAAGGCTGAGTCAGATAACCAGATCCATGTGAGATAAAACTTAGCATCCTCTGACAAATATATTCCATTTGTCGCTTCCCACAGATGGACCTGTGACTCTTCCTAACCACTGGTATTTCTGTTCATAAGGGGTGGTATTTTTTATGCTCCAGAATTTGATTTTTTTAATGCATTCAAACTTGTTTAAAAGTAAACTACTACTGGAAGGGTAAAATTGGGTGGGGATGTAAATAATGAATAAGAGTAAGACAACAATCCACTCGAGGGAGGCCTTCTCCATCCCAGTTTCAGAAGGGGAAATGGGGTAGGGGTGGATAGCCAGAATTTGACAAAATCTAGATTCAAGTCCCCATTCAGCCATGGAGCTCACTGGATGAACTTGGTTCAATCACATTCTCTCAATCTGAACTACCTCAGAGGGCTATTGCGAGGACAAACTGGAGACAGCTAGAGATGGGCACAAACCCTGGTTCACAATTTCGTGCCTGTTCATGTGCATGGTACAACAGGTGCCACACGTTCCACTCCTCTACCTCCCCAGCCAATGGCCCACTCACAAGTTGGAGCAAGCACCTCTCCTCCTCCTCCTCCTCAGCTGTTCAACCAGCAGGAACATGGGATTGCCTGTTCTGCCTCCTTGCCTAAGTAGTTGATCAGCCAAAGAGGTAGGGCAGAGAAGCCCATGCTCCTGCTGGAGACTGGTTGAATAGCCAAATAGCAGGAGGGGAGGAGCGCATAACAGCTAGTGAGTGAGGGATCCAGCCAGGGTGGTGAGGGGAAAGGAATACCCAGCACCTTTGGTGCCACGCATATGAACAGGCACGACTTCCAAACTGAGGTTTGTGCCCATCTCTAGGGATAGCCATACACACCACCTTGATTTCATCAGAGGGAAATATAAATAATAATAAATGTTAGACCCTTCTCAGCCAATGACATTTCTTCTCTTCTGGAATGGAGCCAATACTGGACAAAAAGATGAATAGAGATAATAAACTATTGTCGTACAGCATAAACAATTGTTTCAAGAATGGGGTTTCCAAGCCGTATGATAACCTACTGATTTTCAAAATGTTACTTTTATTGAAAAAATAACGTTTTTATTTAAATTTTGCTATAGAATAAAGGAAAAAAATACATAATAACAATATTTACAGTAATTGGCACACAGACAAGGATATGATGACAGCGCTACAGAGATCTTTTTGAGTTCTAGTTGCATCTAAATCTTCTTCATAGTTGCAGAAGGAATAGTAAATGGAGCATTACTAAAATGTTCAGAGGGGACTTTGGTTTAACAGAACAGAATGGAGCTGCCTACAGCAATGTGGTTGGTGATAAAGAATTCTTAAAATAAGGGGAGGTAATTACAAGGGGAGTGGATCCCAAGATGAATTTTATACCTGTAATATCTATGAATATATACAAATATATATATATATGCAAAGAGATAGAAAAATCAGTTTAAAGAGTATTCTGGTGTGCAGGACAGAATGTTTAATTTAGCGAAAGCAAACCAACAGAGATGCAGCTTGAATTCTGTGACTATACAAAAAAAAAGAAAGTTTTTTTTAAGGGTTCATTATGACCACTGAAAAAGCTCCAAACGCCTTTTTGAGCAATCAGCCACTAGGCAATCAAAATGCTAAACCCTGCTGCCACCTTCCCAAGCAAAAAAGAGCTATGTTTGAGGGGTGAGGTTTAAGGCAAGGAATCTTGGGATGTGCACTGTGCACCACAGGTACCTGAAGTACTCAAACTCATCCAGAAAGCCAAATTCTTCATTATCCCAATGCTTCTTGTATTTCCATTTGTCTCCCCCAATGGGTCAATAGTCATCCCCAACCCCCAGCAATAACAACAAAAACTCTCTAAACATGTGCAACATAGGGCTTACTTTATACTAACACCTAACTGGAGGCCAGTGAGGGATACAGCCGTGAAGAGTGCTGGTATACTGCATCCCAGTCTTATAGTCCTTTGTTTTAACAAGTTTTATCAGCAGAATACCACAACATTTTTCATACTTGCATACTATGTTTTGTTTTCTAAACTGAATTTAGTAATTTAACTTCTAGACATTAGTTTTTGCTCCAATTTTTTTAACTGCGTAGTTCTATTTTTACTGATATTGTCCTATTTTTTTGTTTATTCTAGTTGTTTTGTATTAGCTATGTATCTGTTGTATTTTATTATTTAATTTTATATTGGAAGCTGCCTAGAGTGGTCCATCGGTCCAGATAGGCGGGGTATAAATCAAATAAATAAATAAACAATAAAAATAATAATAGAAGAGTGCTGGTATGAGAAAGATACAGCAAGTGAGTATATTTATGTTACACTTTTTTGCATTCATTTAACGCATGAGGAGTTGTTTGGCCACCCCTCTTTCTTTTTAGAGTAATCGTATACTGGTTCATTCACTTCACCTTCAAGACTCATTGCTATGGGGAAATTAATTATTATTAGAGGAAGCAAGTTTATCTCCCTTAAAAGATGAACAAATATCCTTATAAGGGTAGTGGATCCATTTCTGAAGTATACAAATATACCTGATGTTTTCTAATTCTGGAACACAAACTGTAGAGTAATTTTAACTCTCACTGAAGCTCAGCTTAGGAGTGGGAGTAAAGTAAAGCTGAACCCTACCAGTTTCAGGACCAAGACACCCCCATGGCTCCAGTATGCCAGTGTAAACTCTCAATAGCCGTAAGCAATTGAACCATCAGCAATTGATTTTTGGACATTAAAAGCTCCCCCCCCCAAACCCAGAAAAGGTTTCCCCAAATTGAAAGGGATATCTAGGGAGCCTCAGAATCTGAGGGAGATAAAAAAAAGCTGCAGTTGATGATGTCATCAGCCCTGTGCCAGCAAGATTCCAAACAGAAAATCATCCAAAAGGTGACTTTTAAATGCTTTGAATGAATGAATGAATGAATGAATAGTTCATTGTTATCTTTTTGTCATTTTAACAACTGTTGACTCCATTCCAGCATGTCCAATATTGGCAGCAATATAACTTTGATTGAAGCCTTTGTTTTATTAAATTAATATCTTTACTGACTAAGGCAAACCCAAGTTCCCCTGCTAGTAAATAAATGAAATGTCTTACCATAGTGGTCTCTTGTATTGATCCAAAACTGTTGATGAAAATATTGACTGCTACATCAACTGGGATTCCTAAAATATACGTAGAAAAATGAATATCAGACTCAAAGCTGTCAAGAAATACTATTTCCACTTTTCCCCATCTTCTGATACCAAAAATGAATTAATATATTTCCATTTTTAGACCTGTAGAGTGAGAAGGAAGGGAGGAAAGGCAGAAATGCTGAAAGGTTTACAACTATATTTCAAGCTGCAACTGAATAAGGGCAACAATCACAGGAGAAATTAGCCTATTTAAACATCTAATGGCAGCAGGGGGTCAGCTTGTTCACTTTTCTTTTTGGCTCCTTGGCATGCATGGAGCCATTTGTTTAAAGGTCAGAAAAAAATATGTTTTTTTCATTATTCCCCGGAGTTTCCTTTTCAGCCCCAAAACAGACACAGAAGTTTCATTATTCCCCGGAGTTTCCTTTTCAACCCCAAAACAGACACAGAAGACTTCAGTTTTATTTGGAACAGTGGCAATTGCAGGTTTCCACACTGAATCTCCCTCTTGCTTTAACTGCTATTATTAGCCCTGCTGGGGAAAATGTAGGGATTCTACAGGCACAATACAGTTACCTGCCTTTTTCACCCAGATAGTCTAATAATAGCTCTGGAGGAGCAGTCATTTGATTAGGATAATCATATAGGGAAAGGGTTATAACATCTTCTGCCCAGTGTTGCTGCCCTGTTCATAACTGCATTCCCATTGCCGCACAATTGTTATGAAAGGGTTTTTAAAAATAAAATACAGATTACCCCCATCACATTTCTTTTGGTACCAGCATGAGACTTCGTGGAGAATGCTTCAATTATTATGCATTAGATACAGAAAGTTCCAAAAAAGCAAAGCAGAACCCATGCCCCATCTGTTTCCCCTTATGTGTGGACACTGGACGTGAAAGAGAAGAATAACCATTTGGTAAGAACTTCAGTGAATCTGAATTCACCTTCTTTACCTGACCCTTATATTAATACCACATTTTCTGGTTTTGTGGTCCCTATGAAGAGGGGGGTAATCTCTTTGGATCCTAGGTGGCCAAAATGATCCAAGGTCTATATCATGCATGGATAATGCATGGACCAGGGGCTACAGGCAGCATCCTGTGTTCATTTTGTCCCCTCCCCTACATTCCTGCTGCTGGAAAAAGTACTACTGCACTGCTGTTTTTTCTTCACACTACCAAACTGGTGTATTGTGCCTTTTGATTAGTTGTTCCCAACCTTCCTTGTATATAGTGCTTATACCTCTTGGTTCATGCCAGTCATTAAATGTTCCATGTCACAAAAACTGCATGATGGCTGAATACATAAGTGTATCAGATATTATTAAAGACACACACTTTAATAAAAGAAGATTTGTTGATGAACATGTCAGTAAAAACAAAACACTCCAGTACAAGTTTCAGTATAATGTCTGAGGAGGTAGATCTGTCCATGAAAGCTCATGTTAAAATATAGCGGTGAATCTTCCAGGTATCACAACATTTTTTAATTCTTTATTTTTTTATTTTATCTTTGTTTTTGCCTGAAATGCAAAAAACTAACATAGCCATCTCTTCTAAAAGTATAATTCACATTTGCTTAAAGATGAGTATGCTAAATGCTGCAACATACTATACATTATACAGTATTTCCTGGCAATTTTGAGAGTTTTCATGGCCATATAACTTGAGTTATTGGGATTTCTCAAGGTGAAACAATGCAAGGTAGTATGAGGTAGTACTGAAACACAGGAGAGGGAAAGACTTTTAGTCATCATAAATGGTATGGACTGAATATGCTATTACAGGGCATTCGTTTCCAGAAAAGGAGATTCCTGATTATTTGATAATCTAACTTTGAAAATGTAACTTTCTGATTAAGCTTCTGTTGGGTAACCAAGCTAAAATTAAAAGAATCCATTATTATCCTGTTTATAATTGTTGTTGTTATTTCATAAAGTTATTATTAAAAGTATATGTCAAGCACTATCCTGCCCACCAGGGCTCCCAAAGCAATGTACAATAAAAGAGATAATGGTATTCCTTATAAATAGATCAAAAACAATGTCAAAAGCTAGTTTTAATACCTTAGGATCCCACAGAAGAATACAATTTTGGCTCCTGCCAGGAGTTCAACAACGATGGAGGCAGGTTAAGCTCCTTTAGGAGTTCCACAACTGAGTTGTTTCTACAGAGAAAACCTCACCTCTGGCTATACTGAGGTTGGAATCTGATCTAGTCTCACTTTCAGCAAATGTCTAACTGGTTCACAGGATTAAACAAACAGAATTGGCTATTGGTACCAATTTATGGACTCTTAAGTAATTACAAAATAAACTAGTCTTGTTATACATTAACCTACCCTTGAAATTTGGTCTTATCCTGGGATCGTAGCTAACTAGAAGTCTATTCAAGATGTTGCTGGTGGAATTCGCTGGTACTCTTGCAAGGTCTTCAGCTGATTGTTGTCTGTTAAAAGCAAACAATACGGGTTATTTTAGCTGGAATTAAACAATGGATCTATTATACTTGATTACAATTTTGAATAGCTTATAACAAGATTTTCAGTGCGTTTGTAATTTATGAATTAATATGAATCACTTAAAAACCCATGAATCTGACATGCAAAGCTAAAGAGAAAAATGTTTCTTATTTTATATAGATCTGTTTATCTTTTTATCTATCCATATATTTATTTGCTTATCTACTTACCTATCTATACACACACAGACACAGACACACAAACACATCTAAACAGACATTTTATTTGCACTGCAACTTTCCCTCTAAGCCACATGGCCGTGCAGTGCTACATCAGGGCTCCTCAGCTGAGCCAGTGTTGCCATACATTTGCTTCCAGTTGCAGTCAGAACCCAGTGTACACAGGGCAGGGCCCCCACCCTGCACTAGTGGAAAATTAGAGGGAACGTTGCTGCTAACAGAAACCGATCATGTAAAAGCACAACATTCCCATAGCTCATTCATCCTTGACAACGGATATGAAATGGGTTCTGCTGAGCTGTGCAGAGTGGTTATGGTTCTTTGCCTTCAGAATGGACACTTCAAACATGTGCCCAATTTACCGTATTTTTCTGTGTATAAAAGACACTTTTTCCTAAAATAATTAGAGGAAAAATTGAGTGTCATTTTATACACGGAAGGAAGCAGTTGTGTGCGTGCTTGGGCGCCTCTTCCTGCCACCGCCGCTGCCCAATTGCCTCTTCCAGAGCTCATGGCTTGTCCCCTCTGGTGGCTCCGAGGCAGCAGCAGCAGGAGGAGGAGGAGGCAGAGGCAAAGGAGCAGTCACCCGCGCTCGGGCGCCTCTTGCTGATGCCTTCACTGCCCGTCCGATTACCTCCTCCAGTGCGACTGCCAGGGCTCACGTCGCCCGCTCCCGCCTTGTCCCCTCCGATGGTGGAGGCATGAGGAGGCAGAGGCAAACAAGCATTTATGTGCTCTCTTCGGAGGCAGAGGCAGAGGCAAACAAGCATTTACGTGCTCTCTTCTTGCTGTGCTCTCTTCCTGCTGCCGCCAGATCACCTCCTCCCACAATCTCCTTAGGGCAGGGGACAAGGCAGTGATGTGAGCTGGAGGTGAGCACCAGCAGTCATCAGTCGCACTGCAGGAGGTAATCGGGCAGGCAGAGGAGACAACAGCAGCAGCAGATGGAGGTGGAGGAGCAGTTGCCCATTAACTCCTCCTCCTCCTCCATCAAGGGTCAAAGGGGGTTGTTTTATACATTGGGGTGGTCATATACACAGTAAAATACAGTATTTCCTTTTTACCTTCAAAGCCAATCTATTTACACACCACAAATGATGTATATGTTCCAGTGAACATCAGGTACGTACGTCGCAGCAAATAAAAAGTTGTCTGTCTTCATTATATGAAAACTAGATGAAGAACCATGTAGGCAGTCCTTCCACTGGAGACTGAAAACATACACTGAGAAAATTATACCCTTCCTCAAAAAAATAATAATAATAATTGCATGATCTAGCCCTTATCCATGGAGCCCAAGATATAACCAAAATTTACTAAGTCAAGAATGAAGGACCTCTTTTAGCCCAATGTTCAAGTTCTACTTCAGAGAAATTCCTGGGGGCGGGGGCATTACAGTGGTAGGTAGGATCAGGGGCAAAAGTGTGGAATCAACACACTAACATCTTTATAGCATTTAATTTGTACATCTGGGGAACTACTGAAGTCTAGATTTCAGCTGCAATATGTATGACAGATCTGGCCCCATGGCCTCAGATTCCCCACCACTACTTTGAAAAATAGCGATCTGTGAGACTAGCTTTCAGGAAGACTTGATTCAGCACGGCTTGGGCCTTTGTTTGTGTCAGGTGTACTTACTGACTGCCCAAATACAGAAAGGGAAAGAACAACATATTGCAAATAGTGATATCAGCTGTAATCCATTATTTAGGGAACTAATGAAGGCATAACAAAGCTGTTAGTGAAAGTTGTCTATATCTTTCCTACAGAAGAAGTCATACTTGTCACTTTTAAAGGAACACTAGCAAAATGTCCTGCAGTTTCTTTCAAATTTTGATATTCTTTGTATTGTTTCATAGGCAGCCTTTAATGATGCTTTGAACTTCTACTTGGTGAATGCATGACATAAAATGATTGCTCCTTAGAAGGTTGGACTGCAGATTCTGTAGGGAGGCTAGGTTCCAAAACCCTGCTCATGCCATAATAAAAGACCTTATCCATCTTCAGTAGAAAAACCATTGCAGACTGTCTGTGGCAGTGTTCCTGCACTCTCTCTGTTCCTTCATCAAGATTCAAATAAGAAGCCAGAGATGATACAAGGTTAGCAGATAGGAAATCACACAGTAGCAAATGCATTCACTGTGCAAGACATCTGGCAGTGATTAAGCAAGACACAGCTGCACACAAGCAAGTTCAGGAGCCTACATCTTCACTATCTTTCATCACTTATTATCCTGAGATGAAGCACACAGCAGGCCTCGGTGCAGTGCTGTCTAACAGCAGCTACATACATTCAATCCCAAATTTAAATGGTAAACTGAATTCTGGTAAAGAAACTCACAAAAGTAGACTCAATACTCAGTCGGAATGCTATCACCTCATAGTGCATAGACCAACAATGAGGATTCAGATGTTTAAATACTACTAGTTCTAGGCCGCTATGTGACGTCAATAAAACATAAATATGTAATAATGATCTTTTTTTTTAAAATGCCAGGGGAAATAGGTTCCATCATTATCTCCACAACCACTCCTGGGGATCCCTCTATAGTTAATACCAATATAGAGGACTATCTCTTCTGTGCTTCTCCAATGCAAGAGATTCCTTGTATCCTTAGGGAAGCTGCCACCATATATTAAGACATTTTTGTTCACACTGATAATATGTCCCTGGCACACATCCAAGGGAATCACTTTTTTCTGTTCAAAACTGCAATTTTATTAGAGCAGGCTAAGCTCTCTTCTTCCTCCTCCAGCCCACACAATGGAAATAAAAATTAAGTTTGACACTAGGGTGGTACAGTTTTGCCCTACTCAAGATTCCACCCATGTTCAAAGACATGGCAGATGAGAACACCAGCAGGAAGTAAAATTATTTTTCCAGTCTTCCTCTTTTCTTCTGGACACCTTTACCTATTCCCTGTTTTGTTTTCGTGCTAGCTCAGTGAAGCTAGCATGGAAGGGATTGCATTCTGCTTGTAAATGAGGTACACAGGGAGCACAGACCTTGTTTTAAATGGGGAAGTGTTGGGTTTTCTGCTATTGCCATTGCACCATTAGCAGCAAATTCAGTGGTGGCAGATCAATGGGGTGAGAGATGCAGACATCAATGGGTTCAGGGGGTGCCAGTGTAGCCCCCATCCTAGACTGCAAGAAGAAAAAGCTGGGAGTTTTTTGTTTCAGTCACAGTTCAGGATATTACAGAAGCCTCACTTCTGTTTAATCAGCTCAGTTCATGTTTTTAATCTGTAATCAAAGCATTAATCATTCCAAATATACTGATTAATCCAGTAATGTTTTAAGGATGGCTTTAAGGTTTAGTAATGGGGATTTCATCTTCACTTCTAGAGCAGCCTGGAATTCACAATAGGATGATAGTGTAATTTTTAGATTAATGTTTCCTTTACTCTTCTAAATTATTCAAATAGTCATTGTGCAATAGGAATACTTTTTTTAAAAAAAATCCATACAAGACTCCCTATCATTGCCACCTGGATTTCAATGAACATATTATAAAATGGTATTTGGAAAGAGTGGGTGTGATGTAGTGGATATGGTGTTGGGTTGGAACTCAGGAGAGCTAGGCTCAAATCCCTGGGTTAAAATCCATGGGAACTCTTTGGGGTATGTGGCAGTAGTAAACTACTCCTTGAATGGCTCACATTTTTGAACTCCCCACCCCCATTAGGGTCACTGTAAGTTAGAAAAGACCTTATAATACATAGCAACACCTATATTCAGGTGCAGAGCTAGGATGGTGGACTAGGGACTGGAAGGACCAGATTCCAATCCCAAATCAGACACTAAGATAACTTGGGTGATGACACGCCTACTCTTTTCTCTCTCAACTCTGCTTCATAGGGTTGTTCTGAGGATAAAATGGGTGGAGGAGAACGGTGAAGACCGCCCTGACTTCCTTGAAATAAGTAAATAATATAAATCCAACAAATAAAGCTCTGTGAATAATTTTCTTAGTGCTCAAATAATATTAGTTTGTGTTCAAAGTGACTATTACACAAGCTCAACAGAGACAATTCTCAAACAATCCAATGAACATGTTTGGTATGTTCTTGGTGCAGGATGGATAAAAATAAATGATTTTTTTTTAAAAAAAAAGCTAAAAATAAATGATTTTTTTTAAAAAAAAGTCATTCAAATCACAATTTAAATCATGATTTGAAAATATTTTTATTTAAATTGTCAAAAGATGATTTTTTTATTTAAATCATGATTTAAATTGTGATTTAAATCAATTTGATTCAAATCAAATCTACCTTGTTTTTCAGTGTGTACAATAGTTATTTTTTACTTAAACTACAGTGGTGCCTCAACTTATGAACATCCCTACTTACGAACATTCCAACTTACGAATCCCTACTTACGAACATTTCAACTTATGAATAGCTCCGGTTGCAACATTTTGTTTCGACTTGCAAACGAAGCTTCTACTTACGGACAGAAAAAAGGCAGGGAAAAAGGTGGGCAATTCAAATTTCTAACTGTAGGTAGCAATAAGGCTGCTTTGTACTGTAGCTCTTTCACTTTGGGCAGTTAGAGACTGTGTTATCGTCATCAGAGGCTTGGGGCTGCCTCCTTCTGCTTCGGAGTTGAGCGCGCGCATGCGCGCGTGTGTGTCTGCAGGGAGGTAAGCTGCTGTTTTCTCCTTTTAAAAAACTGTTCTGGGTGGTAATGTGTTCTCGAAGACTGTTCTGGGTGGGTTTTGGCTGGGGCGGGTATGTTTCTGTGCT